TTGTAAAAGAAAAAGCTGCCTTTTCTTTTTTTTTTTCAACACCAAGGACGGGTGTGAAGACCCACTTGCACGGATGGAGACGGAGAGAGTTTAATATCTACACATTTACAATTAGCGGTTCAAAGACTTGCATTAAAAAAAAAAAAACTACGCATCTGCAGATGAAGGAAAGATATCAAGGGGCAGAAGAAGGACAGCAAGGTGCCATGCTGTGGTGCCTTGTGCTGTGCACCATCCCCCAACCCCTCCCCTTTTTCTGGCGGGAGAGCTTGCTGAAGAGAGAGAGAGAGAGATCAGAGGCTATCGGGGCGAGAGAGAGCGAGAGAGAGAGAGATCAGAAGCTATGGGGGCGAGAGACAGAGAGAGAGAGAGAGATCAGAGGCTATGGAGGCGAGAGAGAGAGAGAGAGAGAGAGAGAGAGCAGAGGCAATCGGGGCGAGAGAGAGAGAGGCAATGGGGGCGAGAGAGACACAGAGAGAGAGAGAACAGAGGCAATGGGGGTGAGAGAGAGAGAGAAAGAGCAGAGGCTACGGGGGCGAGAGAGAGAGAGAGAGAGCAGAGGTAACGGGGGCGCGAGAGAGAGAGAGAGAGAGAGAGAGAGCAGAGGGTATGGTGAAAGCAGGGGATCGGCGTGCTGTTGGTAATCCCATGAAGTGTTGAAACGAGAGTTCCGATCCCCACGCAACCAAAAGAGTTGAAAAGAGCAGAATGAAATACTTGTGAATTAGTTAGCTGGGGCGGATGGGTTCAAAGATGATTTTTTTTTATTTTTTTTTTTCAAGAACGCCGTCCGTCAAAAAAAACATAAGGTAAAAAAAAGATAACACAGAAGATCAACGGCCAGTATGTCTTGATCTGATCGGAAAATATATATATAATTTTTTTCGGAAAAGAGTTTAGGGTGGGTGGAGCTGAAGGAAGGAGAAAGCGCTCAAAAAAAAAAAAAAAAAGAGGTAAGTACGCTCATGTCAGCTTTGAGTTTGAAAAGGCGACAGGCGACGGAAGTACCGACGGCCATGCTGTCAGACCGGGTGTCATATTTACAGGGGTCTGCTGTGGTGTCAGAGGGAAAAAAAAAAAAAAAAAAAAAGGATAATGGATTCTTTTGGACCGAAGTCGCTTATTTCGAGTTGGCGCGTTCTCTTTTCCCGCGCGAATTTTTTATTTTTTTTTGCCATTAGGGTTTGGAAGCATGCCGCTTCCGCCGTGGTTTCAAATACAATAGAAGAGGACGTTTTGGGGCCACACGTGGCTGATTGGTACACCCATCCATCCATTCCCAACTGTTGAGAGAATCAGACCCAAGTTCGAATCCTTGTGTAAGGAATCAGCTGAATAAAATAACTAAGAATTACCAGGGGGAAGTTTCTCTGTGCCGTGACTTTTGGAAGCTTCTTGGATCGGATTTCTTCTGTTATGCCTTGTAGTTTGAAGAATTTTTCAGGTCTCTGAGGGTTTGCCCGTGGGTTGTACGAAGCTGCACTGGATTTAGACTGTTATATTCAGGATTCGTGGCTGTCAATTGCCAGAACGACGCTGGCCGGAGCCGGGGTGATGCCCTCTAGCTTGCCGAAGGTGAGGGCATGAGGCCTTGTAGAGAGATCTGGGGATGCTATGCGGGGGGCATCCTAAAGGACAGCTGGGGGTTGCTGACACAGGACGACACTGGCCGGAGCTGGAGTGAGTCGCACTGCTCTGTAACCTAGCAGTTAGGGGGCGTGAGGCCTGGTTGAGTTTGTCAGAGAATAAGTCAGTTTCGGTGAGCTTTGTTAGGATCTGTTGGAAATCCCTTAAGAGTTTTTTGGAAAAACTGCTGTGGGCTTCAGGAGGTGCTTAGAATCATTGATATAGCATAGTCTCTTTTATATACTAATCACCATCATTATTATCATCATCATCATCATTATCATCATCATCGGAATTACTATCTTACACTTTTCTAAGAATCACTAGAAGTCCATCATTACTAGCATCACCATCATCATCATCACATGAGGGACGCTGAGCCCGGTTCTCAGCATGATCGGTTCGGTTACTACGGGTAGACTGTGAGGAAGGACCCCGGCCTCAATCTTCATTTGAATAAATAAAAAAACAAAAAAAAAAAACAAAAAAAAAACAAAGAATTACCTCAAACTCGTTTTAAGGCTTTGGAAAAGAACAGAAGATGTCATTCAAAGAAAAAAGGGGAAGAGAGGGGCGGAAACCATCTAACCGAAATCAGTCTTGTCCGTAATCTTCCAGCTTTATAAACATCTATCAGAAAAGTGAATCCATAGTTTGTCCGTGATCCGTCAGAAAAGGACAACAAAGGAAATGAGCGTGACATGAAAAAATAACAGAGGCGATCGAAATGGAAGAGAGAGAGAGAGAGAGAGAGAGAGAGAGAGAGAGACAGAGAGAGAGAGAGAGAAAGACACAGAGAGAGAGAGAGAGAGAGAGAGAGAGAGAGAGAGAGCCGTGATCCGTCAGAAAAGAACAAAAAAGGAAATGACCGTGACATGAAAAAATAACAGAGGCGATGGAAATGGAAGAAAAGAGAGAGAGAGAGAGAGAGAGAGAGAGAGAGAGAGAGAGAGAGAGAGAGCAGGAAAAGATACACTCGACCTGAAACGGAGGAAGCCTGCGGAAGCAAGAGTAAGGCCGTACTCACTCACCATGTCATTGGGTTCTGTCACTGGAACAGACTCAAAAGACAGCAAGCGAGAAGGAACAGGGCAGCAAACCAGGTACATAGAGAACGCACAAACGCAACGAAGGAGAGGACGCGCGGCAAGAGAGGGCTTAGAAAACAGTAACAGAACCATGAGCAAAGCGAGACTTGGAGTCTCTCTCTCTCTCTCTCTCTCTCTCTCTCTCTCTCTCTCTCTCTCTCTCTCTCTCTCTCTCTCTCTCTCTCTCTCTCTCTTCCTGTGTACATGCGTGTGCGTGTGTGTGCGTGTGTGTGCGTGTATATAATTGCACACTTCCACACGCCGAGGACATGAAAAGCCGTCGTATGGTCTTGCTCATTGTGCGCACCAGTGCTCTCTCTCTCTCTCTCTCTCTCACTTGCTCGCCCCGCACGCGCGCGCGCGCTCTGCAAAAAAGGAACAGGAAAAACAACGTACCTGATGCGGTGATGTCTACAGCGGCTGAGGTTCTCCCTCTTCTTCTCCTCCTATCCTTCTCCTTCTCCTCCTCCTTCTGCTTCTCCTTCTTTTCTTCCCCCCTTCGGTCTTGCTCATCTTGAAACAGCAGGCCTCAAACTCAGCACCAGTTTGCTACAGTTGTAAGAGTTGCACCTTTATGCCATTCCGCTGCATGAGCAGCCGATACGGAGTTCGTGGATAGAAGCTATATTGGGCCTCCCTCCACCAGGCCAACTCCGGCATGTATCCGTACTGTGTAGTGGCCGAGATACATTGTAAGCGATCGGGGATCATCATTACCACCTATACATACATTTTTTTATTTTTATTTTTATTTTCTTGCAATCAGGTCAATAGTAAGGCTGCAAAGGGGGGGGAAATAAAATAGGTCAACAGGGGGACTTTGGTTTGAGGAAGGAGCGTCAGTCAAAAGGGGGGATCTCTTCCAGACCCCTCTCCCACCGTGTGTAGGTGGGGGTAGTATGATAGTATGATAGTGCTGTAGTATTCCTTGATTCCTTTTCTTGGTACTTGTTTTGGCTATTTGGGGTTTAGGTTTATTTGGACAGGACGGCCTTTTTTATTGTCATTATAGATAGTATTACGGGGAACCCCGTAGCAGCCACATCCGTGCTCAAGCCTCCAACGAGGGAACATGCGGGAGCTGCACCCACCAGCAGGTGCGATACCTGCTACAGCAGGTGAGCGATACTGGCCAGGGGTCAGCCGGTAGCATCAGGACCGAGCTTGTTCGATGGGCCAGTCACTGTGCCTCCCCTCCGGTCCCCTCCCCCTATGAACATCAGCAGTCACTGCTCAATGCCACTCGGGGGGACTGACAGCATATCTCTAGGTGGCGGGCGCCAACCTCGCCCAGGAAGGTACATGAGGCCAATGGGGATTGAACCCAAGACCTCCTGAATGCCACTTGCGTGCCTTACCAACAGCTAGGCCGCTGGATCGGTTCTCTTTTTTAGACTCAAGTTTCGTTGATGTTCTTTGCTTTTGTTGCTTTCTACTGGTTGGATACTTGGTCAGAATAGGTGGGTAGAGATGGTAGCTGAATTGGATAGTTATAGGGTAGTTCCTTTTTGTATTGTGTGGTTTTCAGGCCTTATGGATTTTGTTTTGTTATAGGGTTGGACCTCTTGTCAGGGCAGCGGTCTTGTTTTGGCCATTTTTGCCGCTGGACTTTTTCGGCCCAACACCTGAACCATAACTGGGTAATGGTCCCAGTATTTGTTTTCCGGGTTGATTGTGGAGGGATTCCCGGCCTCCCCCTTCTCTATCTCTAATACCTTAAAGGAAAAGGCGGGTCTCGCGTGACGGGCCCACGTGAGACACCGCCCCTGGTGGCAGGGTCCCAGATGTGAGACCCGGTTCTTTCTCGAAGGCGATCCCGCTGTCATGCGAGACCTGCGGCCGCTGCCACGGCCCCACACGCGAGAGCCGCCGGATCCCGTCCTCGCCCGAGCGGCGCTCATTACCCGATCAATATTGCGGCTCGATTCGGTCGCCCCGCTGTGCGTTGGGTCCCGTCTTTACCCGAGCGCCGCTGCGGTTAGAGGAGTCGGTCGGCGGGCGGTCGGGGGGCGCACGGGGATGGGGGGTGCACGGGGACGCAGGGCAAGGGCGGGTTCATGCGGGTCGGGCTTCTAGACGAGCTGCGCCACCTGTCAGGGGGTGTGCGGGGACGCACCGTGTGGCGGGAGGTCGGCAGCGGGAGCGTTGTAGAAGATTCATTGGATGTTGCTCATCCTATCGATGGAAGTAGCATGGCGCGAGCCACGAGGTCAAAGAGATATCGTCTCTCTCTCTCTCTCTCTCTCTCTCTCTCTCTCTCTCTCTCTCTCTCTCTCTCTCTCTCTC